AAAGACAAATGCCGTCGTGTGGTTTGAAGATCCAATTTCATATGTGGGTGTGTGCAAATAATGCGTACAAACATGCGTTATTCTGACTAGTGGTTGTTCCTCCAACTTTCACTTTATACACTTTTCATTCACACTTTTTTCTTAAAAATTGTCAGATTAATACTTATTTCTTATAAACAGAGAGGAGAGGGGGGCGGGGAGGGAATGAGGCTCATATTTGATATACTCGTTCTCACTTTATCTAACAGGCAAGGAAAAAAGAGAGCATGCTCGAGTAACGCTACCTTTATGGAAAATAACCTATGTAATTTCCTCGTATTTTATTGTTAATTATTCTAGGCAAATGTTTATGAGAATCCTAATGCAGTCATAACCTGATAGAGTTTACAGTCAGTTTTTTAGCAGATTGAAAGTTTAGCGGATTTCCCCCAAAATTGAATTGAAAAAGATTTGTGAAAGGATTAAAACGAAGGCGCTTCCAAGAATAGAAGAGAAATTGCAAAAAAGGTCTCTTATTTGATAATGCTATGGTTTTTGCCCAGGACGAGTTCTGTAAAAAGTAATTTAACTTGATCACAGTGGAAAAATCTCCATCCACCTAATTTTCTGCAACCTGCATTCATTTTTGTCAATCATAAGCACACCTATTACCTTGGATGTAACCTACCACTTTCTACTATTCAAAATCGTTCTATAGAACATTAATTGTAGCCTTTTTTTCGCTAGGAAGTGAAAATAAAAAGTTTTTCCAACGAAATCTGTAAATCTACTAACTTGAAACCAGTTTCTGTTGCACTTCGAAGATTTCGCTCTAAAAATCAATTTATTTCGCGTGTTAGCTCAATACTAGCGGTTATTACTTGTCCTAATTAGGAATATTGTGATACTTGGGTAAACATTATTCCCTCCAGCATTATTCTTCCTTCATCTCATAAAAACCCGGAATCAATCATTTTTACGAGCATATAATTCCGTATAGTAGCAGTATTTAGGACTTTTTGAATGTCCCTCATTCATCCATCTAAGCTCCCTTTAACCTATTTCTCTGCATGCATACAAATGCCCCCTTTATAATTCATGAAAAAACGTGCACGTAAACATGCGTAAGACTACTTATGTCTGTGGTAACCCACTTTCATTGCAAAAAGTCCTCTTTCATTGTGCTCTTTGAATTTTATTCATTTTCGAAAAGTTACAACAGATCATCTCAATTTCAAAAATACATAAAGGAGCTGTAGTATGATTAGATCACAATAATTTACATTAAAAATGTATGGAGCTTAATCTAGACATCGTTTTTACCATTAAATTCATGTAAAAATCCTTTAATTTTATCGATCGTTTAGAACAGTCATTTTAAGAAAACAAAGGAAAATTACAAATTTTCACATTTCGATCTCCTTATCATCAATCTCCTCAATCAATCCTGTTAAAGATGATTTACAAATTGTTTTCCTTCTTAATAAATCATAATGAATTTTATGAAATTAGCAATAAGTGAGAATGATATGATGATATTGCGGACAATGCGTCATGATGAATCATCGTTTATGGAAACAACAATTTTGAATTTGCTATTCATGAATGATTTTCAAATGTTAAACCTCATTCCCACTTGTGGAGCTAAATGTGATTCTATAAAGAAAATCTTATCAGAAACATTATTCGAATAGCAAATGAAACTTTGGCCATGGCCATGATTTTGTGCACTACTTTTATTAAGAAAAAGAGAGAAGAGATTAGTTGTTTTCTTAAAATCCAATTTGTTTTTATGTGCACGGGAGGAAAGTAAAACAGGTTTGAGAGACGGGACAAAGGCAAACATTCAAATCCTTCAGAATGCTCAGCAATCGGTCAGTTTTTCATAGACAAGACATATTCTGCATTTGCAGAGGACCAAAAGAAAGTGATTTACAATGATT